CTTCAACGAGATGGATTGACACGGTGGCTGCGATGATGGGCTCAAGTATAGCAGGGATTGTGGGGCAGGCGCGGGATAGGGCAGTGTTTCGTTCTGCTGTGCATGGGGTCGCTATGAGTCAGAAACGACTTGACGGCACTTAACAACAACAATTGTTTGTCCTATTGTTCCTCTTTCTGCTGGGTTCTTGTTCATTTTTTGGCGCGGTATTTTCTTTTTGTAGGTACAATTAAGATAAAGGCATTAAATGTTTCTCATCTTCTGCAGTTTGATTGGTGGCTCCGACTACAAACTGATTTACCGGCACTATGCAACCCTCTACTTTGTATTTTGTGTGGATTCATCAGAGAGTGAACTTGGGATCTTGGACCTCATCCAGGTATGTGTAGTCAGCTAACAATGGCAAGGGAATTTCACTGGATTTTTGAGTACCCAAACTGTAGATCCTATTGTCAGTCTCATTGATACTGGTAAAAACTGCCAAATGTCCAGCAGGTGGTGCTCTGAGAAAGCTCCTGAGCAAACATTTATGCACTTTTGGGTTCCTTGGTTTTTACCCAGCCCTCTCACTGTCCTTAGGAGCTTTGGTGGCATAGTGCCTTAGGCATCTGATAGCTATCCAGAAGGCTGGTGGTTTAAACCCACCAGCCACTTCTCGGAAGGAAGGTTGGGTAATCTACTTTCATAGTGATACCACCTCAGAAACCCAAGGAGGGGTCGCTGTGAGTCAGAGCCGACTCCATGGCAATGAGTTCTCACTGCCCTTGATTTTCAGGTTTGAAAATGTTTTCAACTATCAAATCAAATGACTTAAAAATTTACACTTTATTTTTCACTTGTAATTCTAGCCTAAAATAAAGAAACTAGGCAATCTTGATGTAAATAAACATGGTTTCTCTTAGGCTTTTTGAAAATGAGAAATTACTTACAGATACTTTTTTTCTTTTGGACTTTTTATTGTGATTTGGGTGCAGTTTTACAAAGCATATTCATTCTACATTCAACAATTCATACACATTTACCTACATGACATTGATGGTGATCCCTACAGAGCAACAGCTCTCTTCCTTCCCGTGGTTACCCTTTCCTTGTGTCCTTCTTACCTGTGTGTGTGTTCCTGCCTACCTAGCTTTCTCTCTGTGGAAATACTGCCTTTCTCATCTCCCATGGCTGTTCTAAGGATTGATCTCCCTATTGTAGTTGTTCAGCTTGTAGCCCTGTCTGTTTTTTGGCTAAGAGTTGAGCCATGGGAATGAGTCCAATTCCAGGCTTGTTACAGATTCTTTTCATTACCTTCATGGAACCAGAGATGTGTAGGGACTATAGTTTGAGAACCATAAATCTACTACAACCCCATCATTTTTCACATGAGTTCTAGGTGGACCTCTTTTAAGTGACTTGAATAAGCCCCATTGAATAAGCTTATGTTGAAAACCTAATTAACAGCAATTATGGAAAAGGGAACTCTAGCTACCACATACAAAGTTGAAATGCTTATAACTATATTTGTTTTGTTATGATAAAATTAAATAAGCTAAATTTAATATAAAAAACCAAAACCCACTGCCATTGAGTTGATTCTGATTCATAACAACCCACATTGGGTTTCCAAGGCTGTAAATCTTTATGGAAGTAGATTGCCTCATTTTCCTCCCATGGAGCAGCTGGTGGGTTTGAACCACTGACCTTCTGGTTAGCAGCCAAATGCCTTACCCACTATGCCACCAGTGCTCCTTAAATTTAATATACCTAGGGACAGATAAAAGAAAGTTTTGAGTGTATATTTTTGTTTCAAGTACACTAAAATATTTTGTAAAAACTAGTGTTCTGCTTGGTGATAGCAGCTTTTAAATTTTATGTGTGTATTTATACCCATTCCTATTCAGAAAAGGATTTTAAAATTTCATACATCATACTCAATTATCATAATGCATAAAATGTAAATAAATGAATCATGAAAACATCTAAGAAAGATTTCATCTCTAAGATAATTTTAAAATACTTTTCTTAACACCTAAAGGAGATCTGGTGGTACAGTACCTAAGACATTTGACTGCTAACCAGAAGGTTGGTGGTTCACACCCACCACCCACTCCATGAAAGGAAGATGGGACACTATACTTCTGTAAAGATTTATCACCTTGGAAACTCAATGGAGCATCGCTGTGAGTCAGAATCAACTTGATGGCAGTGGGTTTGGTTTTTTTGGGTTTTCTTAACACCTCGGTCAGATTAGACATTGAGAGTCAGTATGGCATAATAGAATCAAAATAAAGAATCAGAAAACCTGGGTTTGAGTCATGAATCTATCATCTGAAAATAAAGATAATAGGTTGTAAAATTTAGATGTGACAATGTACTTACAGTACTGGAGACAAAAGAATGCTATAAAAATGTGCTTATAATAAAAGTGCATTTGAAAATATAACTATAATAAAATTAGTAAGTGCCCTATGTCATGCAAAGTTTGCACTTGATGAGTAACCAAAATGTTGATGGTTCAAATCTACCCACTAACACCACGGAAGAAAAAGCCCTGGTGATCTGCTTCCTTAAAGATTACAGCTGAGAAAACTTTGTGGAGCAGTTCTACTCTGTAACATGTAGTTCCCAACAAAAAATTGGAATACAGCTATCAGAGGAAAGTGGACTTCATAGACCTATGCTATATTAACTAGGGGAAAAAAAGGAAAGAAATGTAACTATAATTTCCTGGACATTTGTTAAGTATTTAGTGTGCATTGGATTTGGGGATGTCAGATAAAATCTGAAAATAATGGGAACTAAAAGGCTTGATCTTTGAGAAGACAGTAAAATAAAATAGTTTTCCTGATGACTATGAAGAAAATGTTTTTAGGGATGATATACATCAGAGTTGGTATGTCATCAGGAAATACGAATCACTAGAAAAAAGACACATAATGTTTGGCAAAGTAGAGGGTCAGTGAAAACAAGGGAAATGATATGGATTGACATAAACACAACAGTGGGTTCAAACATGCCAACAATCATGATGACAAAAGATAAACCAACATTTGGTTCTGTTATACGTGAAGTCATCATGAGTTAGATCTGAGCCCCGGCAACTAGCAACAATATACATAGTTACATTACCAATATATTTGAAATAGCTGACCACAAAAACGAAATACTCAAATTTGTTGTTGTTGTTAAGTGCTGTCAAGTCGTTTCCGACTCATAGCGACCCCATGCACAGCAGAACGAAGCACTGCCTGATCCCGCGCCAGCCCCACAATCCCTGCTATACTTGAGCCCATCATCGCAGCCACCGTGTCAATCCATCTCGTTGAAGGCCTCCCCCTCTTTCGTCGACCCTCCACCCTACCAAGCATGACATCCTTCTCCAGGGAATGGTCCCTTCTTAAAACATGACCAAAATAGGTGAGACGAAGTTAGGAATACTCAAATTAGGTCAACACAAAAACATGTATATAATTAGGATGAAATAAGAAAGGTTAAAAAAGAAGAAGAAAAATATAGCTGAGTTCTCAGTGGACTTACGGTAGGATTAAAAAAAAGAAATGGAAGTACAGTAAAGCTGCTATGTTACGTAAGTCATTTTTAAACTTAGAAAAAAGATACTACTACTAAAATGTATTCTATGAATTGGATGTGATCCAGAAACCCTTCAAGAGTGAAGATAGTATTACCCAAATATTTACACTTTTAGTGTTGGTATAAAATTACTAAATGTTAACCAATAAATCTGGTAGTGTAGTGCCTAAGGCACTTGACTGCTAACCAGAAGGCTGGCAGTTCAAACCCATCAGCCACTCCTCGGAAGGAAGATGGGGCGATCTACTTCCGCAGTGATACTGCCTCGGAAACCCAAGGAGGGGTCGCTATGAGTCAGTTCTGACTCAACGGCATATAACAACACAATAACAACAACAACAACCAATAAATCAGTTGAACTGAGGGGTTAAGTGGCCTTTTGTCACTTCCATTAATAAGCACTGTGGCCTGAAATCATTTAAGCTTTGCTGGCTTCAAGGGTTGTTTGTTTTATGTTTTTTGTGTCCCTGGGTAGCAAAAACGGTTAAGCACTTGCCTGATCACTGAAAGGTTGGCGGTGTGAACTCATGTAGAATTGCTTTGGAGTAAATCTGCTTTGGAGTGATCTGCTTTCAAAAGGTCACAGCCTTGAAAACCCAATGGAATACAGTTCTACTCTGTGCATGTGGGGTTGCCATGAGTTGGAATTGACTCAGCAGTAACTTTTTTTTCCTTAATGTTTTATCTTTTGTGTGTGTTTGTTTGTTTTGATATATGAAGATTCTAGATATTTTCTTAGCCCTAAAATTCTTTCTCTATCAAGAATACTGCATTCAGAAGAGGATGTGGAACAAGGTATATCATTGCTGATGTCAGATGGATCTTGGCTGAAAGCAAAGAATACCAGAAAGATGTTTACTTGTGTTTTACTGACTGTGCAAAAGTTTCGATTGTGTGGATCATAACAGATTGTGGATAACATTGAGAAGAATGGGAATTCCAGAACACTTAATTGTACCCATGAGGACCCTGTACATAGACCAGGAGGCTGCCATTCAAACAGAACAAGGGGATTGTGGTAGTTAATGTTGTGTGTTTACTTGGCTGGGCCTGGTTGAGTGGCTGGGCAGCTGGTGGTAGTTATGCCCCATGATGAAACTGGCAGTCAACTCCATGGTGGGATCTACCACAAGTGGCTGAGCAGCTGCTTTAGGGATGTGGTCTGTTTCCCATGTATAAGAAGGAGCTTTGGGAATAGTCTCTAGCTTATGGCACACTTGAACCCTGTGTGTAGCCAAGTTGTTGTTCAGCAGCTTGTAGCCAAGTTGTTGTTCAGCAGCTTGCTATGCTCTGCTGACCTTGGGACTTTTGATGCTCTTGAATCTGTGGCCTGCCATGTGGTTTAGTTAACATCAGGACTGTGGCTTTTTACTTGTCAACCTTGGATTTGTCAGCCTCAGCAGGCAGCAGTGAAGAAAGCCTCTGGCTGAGTGAAGAAAGCCTCTGGCTTCAGTGGGCTGGGAGCCAAAGGCAGAGCTGAAGCCAAGGTTGAGGGGCTTTCAGCCAGACCCTAGAGCCCGGTACTTTGAACTCAGACTTAAAGCCTCCAAAACTGTAAGAGAAGAAACTCCTGTTTGTTTGAGCCATTCCATTTGCAGTATATTCCTGTCAGAGCGGCACTAGTTCACCAATAGGGATATTGCATGGTTTAAAATTAGGAAGGAAATGCCTCAGGGTTGTATCCTTTCTCCATACTTATTCAATCTGTATGCTGAGCAAATAAAATGAGAAGCTGGACTATATGAAGAACATGGCATCAGGATCGGAGGAAGGCTCATTAAAACCTGAGATAAGCAGATGACA